TTCGCAGCTGGTAGACACTGAGGTCAACAACTGCCCTAAAAACTGCGTCGATTGATATTAAGTACAACAAATTCCGACAAGTTTAAACGACACTACTTTAAACATAACACGGAGGCATAATAACGTGTGCATACAGCTTGGCCGTCCGCGAGTGACTAAAAACAGAGTTTAAAAATAATTAGTTAGGTTCTAATTTCCCCTGGTAATATTTAAATATTTTCATTCATTGTTATGTTTATACAAAATCGAATACCTTGGTAGTTAGTAAGAAAAGAGCATAACAAAGCACACGCCCAGTGATGATAATATTATGTCTACTATCACTAGTCTACTACAATCAAATAGATTTACTAACCTTCTTATGACTTATTTAACCCTCTGTTAGTCGCGTAATAGGGTAGCCTGGGTTATGAAATGGGAGGGGGCAGGGTTTAAATACTGAAACCCCGCCGGGAAAGCTTGGCTACGCCACTGCAGGGTGCACTCGTATACATCTGTAATCCGTATCAATCTGAATGATGATAGAACATTAAATAGTATCCCTTAACGTGCAACTAACGAAGAGTTAAGTAGGACACTTTGAATAAGAATATCCTGAGTTGTTTTCCTATTTTAGTGTTTGTTTATCAAGTTGAACTTTTGATTGACACAATTTGAAGCAACTCGAAGCACATAATTAAGAGAGAGACATAAGAGACTTGTCGCCTCTAATATGCGCTTCAAGTTACCAAACAGTGGTCCATTTACAGTATATGATATAAGGTCACAACATTAAATGTAATCTAAACTTGAAAGTATAATTGGATGTACATTTTAAAAGTAACTGGTATTAATAATTGATCAGAATGTGTCGGCCTTGTCTTACAAGTGCGTATCAATGTCAGCAGATCTAATTTAGCAATGATAGCTTGAATACTACAGTGATTATTACTATTTAAAACTAACGAAGCTTAAGAAGTTAACTGCTGCACTACAATTTGATACGTATCACACTTGAACACTTGGATACAACACATGGAGGCGAAACGTCTTCTCCGAACCAACATTTTTAAATTAATTTTTTAAGCTTCATATGTTTTGAAATAATCCAAGGAAGATGTTGAGAATTGGAGCAACTTAATAAAGTACCTATTTAAATAATTGTACTATGAATTTTTTTATGTATTATTTGAAAGGTATATTCTCCCCTTTCAACTACCAACAATCAATACCACTAAATGAAGTTATAATTATTAACGGTTTTAAAATTTGTAATACCTCAATTTACATACATGTCGTCAATTATTTCCATGAAATTTACTATAATATGATTAATAGAGTAGAATTTTGTTTTATTTTTTTTTATTTTTGCTCTAAAGCATCGACAAGTATGGCTGTAAGAATTTTGTGGGGGCTGTGGCTGAGCTTGAATAACACGTTTGTATGTGGGGCGAGGATTCGTATTTTCCACCCAGGCGGTCACCCACCCGAGAGCTAGCAACGCCGGAATTCGTTTGACAGACATTGGAGATTGCCGCCAACCACCGTGTCACACCAAGCCACAAATTGTATTCTTATTATTTGCATTTATTGCATAATACATATTATTTTGTGTAACAATTTGATTATAAATAAATACGTTATTATTTCTTGTTGTCTATATTGATACATGAATCATCAGCTTACGAATAGTGTTTCAACCATGCTAGAGGAAAATGACATACCGAGACCTCAACATAATTTATTACACAAGATTACATTTCGTATGTCACTTGAAATATTACCTAAGTTTACATGATAACTGAATAAAATTTAAAAAAAAAAAAAAAACAATTTTAATCATTTAAGTTAGGAGAACAGTACATTATGCCTACCTGCTGTGGATTGCGGAGCCCGCTTGATGAGTACTTTATATAAATAATGTTTTATTTTTATTTTGATGTGCGTGCGGACACGGTGATGAGCGGCTATAAGTGCAACTCAGCCTTGGTAGGCAATGAGCGAAAATTCAATAATATATGCATGCTTAGACCTGATCTGTGACAAGCAGACACGTACACAAAAAAAAAATTGGGGGGAGGGGTTCATAAGCAAATTGTCACCGACCAGTTATTGAAGTTATCGATGTTTGATATAAATAAATTACACAACTATTAATTGTCGGGGGGGG